TTTTTTTTTTTTTTTTTTTTTTGTACCAGGGATCGATCTCAGGTCCTTACGCTTGCGAGGCAGGTGGTGGAACCACCGAGCTAAATCCCCAGCCCTGGATTTTGAATCTTCTCATGGGGAGAAAGGGTGCAAGGGGCCCTCCTGCCCGAGGTGCAGGAAGTGGCCGCGGGACGGCTGTAGCGGTCTCCCTACCTGATTTCTCTGAGCTGGATTTTCCTGATTCACACCGGGCAGTGATATTTCCCTGTGGCGGGTGCTCTAAAGATTGGAGGAAGCAGGGTGTAGTTGTGAACACCTGCAATCCTATAGCACTCTGGGAGGCTGAGGCAAGAGGATCAGGAGTTTGAGCTTATCCTGGGCGACTTTGCAACTTTGGGAGACCCTGTCTAAAAATAAAACACAAAAAAATGCCTGGGTTATGGAGGCTTAGTGTGAGTTTAATCTCCAGTACTGGGAAAAATAAATGAGAGAAACTGGCCAGCCAGATGCAGAGTAGCTACTCCCTGTGTGAGCTGGCCCGGGGCATAGACCTGCCTAGGCCCCCGTCTCTGTAACAGCAGCTGAGGATTCCGTCTCTCCTTACATGGGTTCTAGAGGTGAGGGGCTGGGCTTCCCTGGACCCCTGGCCTAGTGCAGGGGGGCTGGTGCTTGCCGTCAGGGCCCCTTTCAGGGTACCAGACTGCGGCAGGACAGCCATCCGTGCGGGAGACCCCTACAGCTGTCCCACGGTGCTTCCTGTGAGAAGCCCGTTGGGCACTCTTGCCCTCCCCGCCATGGCTGTGCTGGGGCTGTGGGTGCCAGCTGAGACCGAGGCCCCCATCTGGCCTCTGCTCTGATGGCCTGTGCGCCCTTCAGTCGGTCACCTAGGATCACTCGGTCTCCTGGATCTGTACGGGTGTGTAGACCCCTCCCTAGGTCAGAGGAGTGCCAGGCTGTGGTGGAGCAGGTGAGGGTAGCCCCATCACCCCGCTACTCTTTGCAGCTTCACAGCCTTGTATCTGTGCTGGGCCCTACTGCGAATTAGGGAGGCCGAAAAGCATCCAGCTGCCTCCCCTCACAGAGGGAGAGGTCGGGGTTCAGGGAGGTGGGGTCGCCAGGTGGTGTGGGGCTTGCCTCCTTCCCTGGCATCTTCCTCCATTGGATTTGAAAAACAGGTGTGGGAAGGACCGGGAGTGTGGAGGGACACCTGCTTCCCACTGGGCACCAGACTGCGAGGAGCCGAGCCCAAGAGCAGGTCTGGAAGGGTGTCTGCACCCTTCTCGATGCCCCTGGAGCTTGCCAGTGTGGTGGTGTCCGCGTGGACGTGCTGTTTTCCCTCCTGCCCTGTGCTTGTGGTTGTCAGGTGGCCATGAGGTAAACCATGAGGTAAAGAGGCCCAGGAGAGGAGTTGTGCGGAGAGGTGCTGGGAGGTAGGGCTGGGGACTTGCTCTGGGTTCCCGGGGTCAGGTGGCTTTGCAGGTACCCTGAAAACTGCACAGGCAAGAGAGGGAGAGGAGGAAGGAGCAGGAACGGGAGGCCACTTGGCTTCTTCCAGGAGACGTGTCCATGCAGTTTGCATCTAGGCCGTGCACTGGACCGTGTTAGAACCTGCCCCCAGGTACGGCAGGACTCGTCATTGAGCAGCCCTTTCCCAAGACGACTGCTTCCGGCTTTGGGCTCCTGCCTGTGCCATTTTACCCCTGTGACCCCGCTCAGTGACTGGGAAGAGTCACCTTGGGTTTTCCCTGGCATTGGCCGGATCTAGCATCGCGATGTTCCCGTGGAGAGCTCGGAGCCCCACACCGCCGTCTCCCGGCCCTGCCCTGCCCCCGCGGCCTGGCTTTGCCTGTGTCAGGGGTCGGGCATCCTCCGAGCTCGGCACTTGGCAGGTGCCCAGCGAAAGTGAGGTTGAAGCCCCATTACCGATGGGACTGGAAACCAAGTTGCAGAGGGCAGGACTGGTGGGGAGAAGCCAGCTGCTGGGGCCCTGAGGGTGGGAGAAATCCATTTCCTCCCAGTGACTGCCTGAGGAGGCTTTCCTTTCTCTCCTGGGCCTTGCAGGAACTAGTGTTGAGGATGAGCGGGATGGAAAGGAAGAGGTCTGTTTTGTTTTTCAGATCGAGAGTCTGTTATTAGCAATTTATTACATCCGGGTCTGTAGCCAAGCACATTCTGTTTTCAGTGTGGGGGAAGACACTGGGGGAGATGCAGCAAGAGGCTGGGCCGGAAGGAGGCCTGGATCAACAGTTTTATAGCTGACGATGTGTTGTCTTGCAAGGGGACAGTTTAACAGCACTAGTGTGGGGAGGCGCCTGCTGGGTGGCATTGGACTCCCAAGGGACCCCAGATTGCCCAGAAGCGGGGTGAGCGGGCTCCCCTTCCTTGGGCTTCAGATTTCTCTCTGTGAAATGGGGTCGGAGCCCTGGAGGAAGCTGCCCTGTGAGGAAAAGGAGAGCAGGTATGTGTGAGAACCCCGGAAGAGGAGGAGCAAGAGAGATGGCCGCCCTCGTGGCGAGAAGAGTGAACCACGCATGAGCGAAACAACCCTCTTCTTGCAAATTGCTGAGCTGGTGGAATATTGGGGGTGGCTTCGAGATCCAGGGTGGCAGATAGAGCTCTACGGGTGCCTGGGCTCTGTTGCTGTGTAGGGGTCCCGGACGAGAATGGAGAAGGCAGGGCCAGGGCCCGGGGCACCCCTTCCTCCGAGCTGGCCTCTGTCCCCATGGTTCCCAAGGCTTATCTCTGGTCCCCATTCCTGGAGGCAGGTCTCCTTCCTCCACCCACCCCTCACGTAAGTTGGTCTCCATCTTCCCTTCTCCCCCACATCTTCCTCCCAACTCTTTGGCCTTGACTCTGACATCTCGCTGCCCTTCAGGGGTTGGCATCCCCCAGGAGGCCATGGGGCCAAACAGTCGGGAACTCTGGCAGAGGGAACCCTCCTGGGAGGGACGGTGGTGCCTGGTCCCCTGAAGGGTGTGGGTACTCTGGGGAGAGGGAACCACCCAAATGGTGGTTTTGTGCATCTTCAGTCTGGTCTCCAAGCTTGGTGCCCCCCCCCGGTGGTGGTCGAAGGTCTGGGGGAGTCTGGGAAGGTCAGTGCTAAGAATGCGTGTGCCAGTCAGGGAGCAGGGTTAGCAGAGAGCCTGGGCCTGTGTCCAGCTGCGAGTGTGGACTGTTATCTTGACATCCCCCATGTACTGCTGGTGGCCGCTTGGCCCGAGGCTGGTTGCTCATCCTGTCTTCTCTGGCTGACTGCCCACCTATCCTTGGCTACTGCGAGGCGCGCTCCAGGGGCCTCCCGGGGTTGGGATGCGGGGGATGCAGGCTCGATTCAGTTGAATGTGTGGAGTGTGGAGCCACAGACCTGTCCTCCCATGGTGTCCTCTGTGTCCTGCTAAGGTGGGCAACTGTAGGACACCCTGTTGGGTGGGATGGGACAGTCCATTTGGACTGCGGCTGGTGGAGACCTTGGACCCTGCCTTCGAGCTGGGACCTTGCTCACAATGGGGTATCACGGAACTTTCAGAATGGGTGGCTCATTCATTCGGGCTTTAGCGCCTCTCACTGGAAAGCACCCAACGGCAGCCTGTTCTTTTCTGTTCCATTCAGAGGCATTTTTGCTGCCTTCAAATGGCGCTGAACCACTTGCTAACAGCTAGATTAGTGGGCTCCAGGATGTGGGGCCACAGTCAGCAGCCCTGAAAGCCATATTGCTTTGCCCTCTCTGTCATGACCCGCGCTGCCCATAGCTTAGGTCCCTCGGGGCCCGGTGAGAGCGTGATCCTCCTGGGGAATCCAGGCTGAGAGGTCTTCTGGAGAATGGGCAAACTTCCGTGGCTCAGCATTGACCGCTAGATGCCTCTTTTAAAGGGCAGCTGTTGGGTATATTTTTGAATGAGTAAGATCCCTGTAAACTTCAGCAGTCTCTTACGTGAAAGGCACTGGCACAGATGAGTCCAGTCCTGCGTCTAGGAAGGAACAAAGCCCCTTTCCATCTCGGTGGTCTTGGGTGGGCCGGCTGGGCACTGAGGACTCTGGCTGGGTTTGTATCCTGGCTCTCATGACTGTGGTTCTGGCGAACTCTCTTGAACTCTCTTGAAGCTGAGCTTTTTACCTGCAAAGTGGGAAGGGCCATACATGAGGCTGGGGGAGCAGTGGGTGGTGAGGGAGGCTTGTCCTGGGGTGCGGATGGCACTGCTGTGTTGGGGAGCCCCCTACCCAGGGCCTGAGCATGGCCTCTGTAGGACCTGGGAAAGGAGGAATGGTATCTTCAGTGTGAGGTGTGCCTGACACTAGGACGCCTCCCTCAGCCCCGCAGGGTTCTTCCCTTGCTTGCAACAGGCAGTGGCACCGTGCAGCCCTGGCCACGATCCTGAGCTGCTCTGCCTCTGTGAGGATCTTATCTGGGGGTTTGCTGCTGCCTTTTGTTGCTGTGGTCACTGTCATTGGAGTGACCACTTCCCTCAAGCCGGGGAGAGTGCTGTTGTCCCAAGTGCCCAGCTCTTGCCAAGGCAGGGTGGCGTGCAGGGTAAGGATGGCTGGGCGTGGACCCTGTTGCGCTGGTCCCAGGAAGCAGCCCAGAAAAGGGAAGAAGCTGTCCAATGCCAGCTGCAGGCAGGGCGTTGCCAGGTGCGACAGAAATGTCCGGGCCAGAGTGCGCTACCATTCCTGTCCACCTGAACTGGAGCGGGGAAGGTGGTTCTCGCCAGGTACTGCTGATTTTTGTAAAACTGACAGTTTTCACATGTAGCTGGGACTGCTTTGACCCATGAAACTACCACGTTCGCACAAGCCCCCTGCTAGGTTATGCATTTTACTAATTTATAATACCAACCTTTGGACTCCAGTGCTTGGGCGGCTGCCTGCAGGAGGCTGGCAGGAAGTGCAGGCAGCAGGGGCGTGCACGCAACAGTCGAGCCTTGGGCAGGAGAGGCCTCGCCCTGCTGCCTGTCCCTGCAACACGCAGCCCCCAGGAGGAGGATCCACGGGGATGGGGGAGCCGTGAGAAACAGCCTCTGCACAGAGACTCTTGCACTGCGGTTTTGAACTTGGGGTCAGACGGATCTTGAGTTGGGTTCCACCACTGCCACTTAGATTTCATCTCCCCATCTAGAAATGGGGTTTTGCTGCTGTGGAAGATACCCGAGCAGCACTCAGTTTGGGATCCTTCCTGTCGTTGAGGAGCATCTGTATGTGCTGCCCTGGGCTGCAGCCTGAAGGTGGAAATTGAGGCTTAGCAACACCCCTCTTTGCACAGCATCAAGGCCCAGGAGCCTGTGATTTTATCTCTAGGAGAAGTATAATTCATACCCTGTGCAGATGGAAGATCTGAGACCTGGGAGGTTCGTCCCGTTGTGCTGAGTGCTGAGGCCCTTTGTGGTCTGGGGGGTGTGGGGCTTGACTCCCATTTTGGAGGTGGCGAAGCAGAGGCTCAGATTTGCCTAAATCTACACCCAGAGTTCATGGTGGAGCTCGGACCCTCTGCTCTCTGCACAGACCTCCGAAGGGTCACCCTGGCCCTTCTAGACCCTCTGGGTTATCTGTCAGGGTGGACAGCCAGATCCGGAAGGGAGAGGGTTAAGTTCTTCCTGACCCCTTCCCTGGGTCAGGGCTGCAGGCTGTGGGGGTAGGGAGGGCCTGGGCTCGTTCACCCCTCAGCCTCTGGGAGGGAGAAGAGCAAAGATGCCGAGTCTTCCTGTCTCCGTAGGAAATCAATCCCTCGGGCCCCTTGGCTAGGCTGTCATTGGCGTGGCCACATGCTTCGCCCAGCCATGGAGCACAGGCCGCTGGTGTAGGCTAGAAGTAAGGCCCTGTGATGTCTTCCAGGTGGGAACCGGGAGTCTTTTTACCAGGAAGGGATCAAGTAGGAAATAAGAAAAGGGAAGCAGTGGATGAACCTTAGGGTGAGCGGGGACTCTGGGGCCAGCCTGTTGTTTGCCGAGGAGGAGGAAGGTCCTCCAGGGGCCTCTGCCCTCTGTAGCACAGGCCTGCTGGTGTCCGTGTGTAGCTCATAGTCTCGGTACCCTCGTTCTGGAAACTGGACCTGTTGCTGGCCTTGAACCCATTGACCTAGGAGAGACGTGAGGGAAGGGTTTCCAGGAAAGCTGCGGACTGACTTTACAGGGAAACGAAATCTTCCTGTGTCCCCGGCTTCCTTCCACCTGGCCCTTTGACTCCCTACTGAGGAACCGAGCTCCAGCTTGTCCGGGGTTGCAGGGTGAAGCCTTTAATTGCCCCTACAGTGAGGGAGACCTGGCTAGTGGGCAGGTCTGGCCTGGACACTTGCAGTAGTGACTTTAGGGTCCCAGGCCTGCTGCCCTGCCTGGGGCACTTCTGCCTGCCTGCAGATTAACAGTGCTGTGAAAGTTAATTATTAGCAGTTTCTTGTTCGTGATTTTAAATTTGGGTGCCAGGGATTGAACTCAGGGCCTCACACATGCAAGGCAGGCGCTGTGCCTCTGAGCTAAATCCCTAGCCCCATTTTTAAAAAAGTATATTAAAGTATATGTTGCATTACATGTGCTACTGTAATAATTTTAAAGTATGTAGATGGAGGACATAGGTATGTTCACAGTGTTAGGTGTCCACAGAACTTGTCACCCAGACTGATACTCGGTACCATTAATCGGCTCTCCATTCCTTCCTCCTTTAAGCTGCGGTAACTCTGTTCTTCTTCTGCTTAAATGAATTTAATCATTCTAAGTACCCCATGTCTGGGTAGTATTTGTCCCTTATGACTGGCTTATTTCCCTTAGCCTATTTTCAAGGTTCATTCATGTAGTAACATGTGTTAAGATTTGTTTCCTTTCAGCTGTGTGCACTCCTGTAATCTTCGCACTCTGGGAGGTTGAGGCAGGAGGGTCATCAGTAGGACTTAGCGAAACCCTGTTTGTTTATTTATTTATTTATTTTGAGACAGGGTCTCACTATGTAGTTGAGACTGACCTGGAACTTACTATGTAGCCCAGGCTGGTCTTGAACTTGCAGCGAGATCCTCCTGCCTCAGCCTCCCAAATGCTGGGATTACAGGTGTGCGCTACCACGCCTGGCCGTGAAACCATTTAAAAAAAAAAAAAAGTCTGGTTATATAGTGCATTGGCAAGGCCCTATACTCCCCCCATTCATTCCTTTTTAAGACTAACCTGTTGTAGGCCTGTGCTGTGTTTCGTGGATCTATTTCTGTGTAGACACTTGGGTTGTTCCTATCTTTTGGCTTTCATGAATAACGTGGAACTGAACATGGTTGTTCAGATAATGCTTTAAGACCCTGCTTTTTAGTTCTTTTGAGTATACACCTGGGATTGAGATTGCTAGATCATATGGTAATTCTGTGTTTAATTTTTTGAGGATCTGCTGTTTTCTATAACATTTTACTTTTTCTTTTTTTTTTTCTGTACTGGGGATTGAACTTGAGTCCTTGTGCTTGCAAGGCAGGTGGCAGAACCACTGAGCTCTAAG